GTGTAACAAGGCGGCGAGTGTGGGCCGGCGGGGCGGGGCCTGCCCGCTACCTGCTGGGTGCAGGGCCCCGCGGCGCCCGGGAGAGGAGAAGTGGGTCCCCCGAGGGGGAGGCGGACTGGGAGTAGGGGGCCCAGGCGCAGACTCTGCAGCGGCCTGGGCTCAGTCAATCAGGGCCTCCCCAGACGTCCCAGCAGCAGCCCCTGTTTTAGACTAGATGGCCGAGGCCTAGACACAGAAAGACGCTGGCCCCAGGTCTCGTAGAGTCGTGAAATAGACAGCCCTGTGTTACGGGGCTGGGGGAAGTACAGGCGCCCCCTGTACTCACTCTTGCCCGACAGGACCGCACCCTCACCCCAAGTGAGAGGACAAGGACCCCGCCCCAGGGCCCTGAGCACAACGTGCACTTGAGCATTCAGTTGCACAGACTGGATTCCGGATGTCTTATCTGGGAGATGAGAGGACTCAGCCTGGATGGACCGGTTTCCAGGGACTCTGCACAATTCTAAAAACAGCCCTGTCCCTCTCCTAGGGAGGGGGAGGGGTGGCGATGATGGCAAGCCCTCGGTGGCGCCACTGTCGTCGCGTGTTCCCATGCCCGCAGGAAGCTCCCAAACACTCCAGTATCCACCCATGCTCCTGCATGTGTGTAGTCGCACAGACTGAGTGTACACCTAACCTCGCGCACACGTGCCTGTCAGCCTGTGCTCCCCACACCCGGGAGGTCCTGGCTGTGAAAGGATGCTGGAGCATAACCTCCGAATGATCCTTTGGGGTCATCCTCCCCTCCCCACCATTACTTTGCTAGGCCCTTTGTCCTCTGTGTCTGGCAATCCAGGGGCAGATAGGGGAGGAGAACTGGGCCAGATTCAAAGGAGAACAAAGGCATTTGGGGAGGGAATGTCCTGTGGACTGGGAGCGGCTGCCCTCCTCCAAAGCCTCACAGCCCTGCCCGTTGCAGAGGGATCTCTCATCCCCCACAAGCTGCCAAATGCAGGCCTGAGGACCACCCAGAGCAGGTGTACAGGCCAGAGAACAGGCAGCCAAGAGGCTGAGTCCAGCTGTGAGGGGAAGAGGTCTGCCTCAACTTCTCCATCAATACAGTGGGGAACAGAGCTGGCCAATGGCTGGGATCTGGGCCCCAGTTCTGCCCTTTTGGGCTGCTCTGCAGCTAACCAGCAACCTAGGGAGAGGGGTCCCTACCCCTGCAATCTGGCATGGAGTCTCCATTGCTGGAGGAGCCCTGGGAGCTGCAGAGAGAAGCTCTGAGGCACCAAATACCCTGGTACGGTCTCCTCTAAGTCAGCTAGAGAGGAGCAAGGTCAGGCCCCTGCCCTGGGGTGTCCAGGCCACCTAGCAACAGTCACACAGATGCAGGCACGGGGCTGCAGCCCCAGGTACTCGGGCTCAAGACCTGTGTTCAGAGACTGATGGAAGGCTTCCCCCCAGACACAGTGCTGAGAAATGAGACAAGGGAGTGACTGTGCCAGGGCCACGAGTTTATTCAGATAGGAAACCCTTGCCCAGGCTGGGACTTCTTGCAGATTGCCACCACTCTGATCCTGGTGTGGTCAGGCTGAGTTCCCTGGGGACTGGGAGACCTGTTGATTCATCCCCCTAGCCTAAGGCCTGACATCTATAAGGTGGCCAACCTCTGCTGGCCGAAACTTCCAAGTGGTGAGTTGATGGCTCACCTACGCACCAGACTGAGAGCTCTTTGCGGGCATCTCCAGTGCCTGACTCAGACTCCATCTCTGGTCCCCAGTCCCAGTGCCCCTACAGGACAGGGCAAACTCTGCCCAAGGACAAAACTTGGCAGTGTGCCTTGGGGTAGTCATTCCTTATTCTGAACCATGATGTCCTTATCTGTGAAACAGACACAGAAATGCCTTCTTTGCTTTTGCAGGGCTGAGATCACCTACAGCACGACCTCCACCCTCTCTCCCTCCTCGCCACCCACTGGAGTCTCTGCACCCGCTACTGCCCAGCCCTGTCCCTA